TAGCTTTTGACAGTCACCGCCCACATACGCCCGCTTTCGAAGAGGGCCAGAACGTTAGGGATAGAGGAAGAAAGGGAAGGCCTCCGATGTCCTGCCTCGCATATTAATCATTGTTGTTGGGCTGACACTTCCGCCAAGGACGAACGAAGAACTGCAACAACAGCAGCTGGGACTTTTAATGACTGTTTCAAGGTCGCCATAACAATAACAGATGTTTCGAGTTAAGCGCTTAAATTTCTCACGAAATGCAATGCAATGGGTTAACAATGCGAAAGCCTTCGTAAAGTGATTAACACATTTAATGGGACATGCATAATTTATTTGGCTGCCACTCGCACCCACACAAATGCAATTGTCTACATTTGAGAATTTATTTAATTAAAAGTTGCATTTTAATTAACAAATCAAAAGCAATTGTTGTTGAATATTCCGTTTTACCAACAATGGCCTTTGATTAATAATAATAATAAACTTGTGTGCATATCCAGTTAATAAGTTTTAGGTTACAAAATGGATATTGAAAGACCTAAAAATAATTAATAACTTTCAGATCTCATTATAAAAAAATCCTTAAAATGTTTAAAAAACATTTCTGAATGTGAGAATCACTCTTTTGCAGTAGAAGATCTCTCCACATAAATGGAGGAAAATGAAGTTAAAATTGCAAAAATATTTATGTAAATCAAGGGGAATGCAATCAAACGAAACATGCTCGGTGGCTGGGAAATCAACAATGGAAATGCATTTTCCCAACGGTGAAATCAAATTTAAGGCAGCCCGAAAATGAGAGCCGCAGCCTTCGCGCCGCCATAAATAATTAAAGTTGGGCAATTTGTGCGGCGTAATCAGCAATTACGAGCAGTGAACAAGTGCCACGACCAATTCGAAATGAAAGTGCGATTTTTAATTACTTTGTGCGTACTTTCATTTCATTTCCGACACCAATTATTGAAATAACATTTTGTGACCCAGACTGCTAATGCCCTGTCTGTCTCTTCATTTACAGGACTGTCAGATGCTTTGGCCAAGGGACTGCTCACCGATGACTTTACAACCGGAGCCCGTATTTTGGCTCTGAATCTGACAAATGGAGCAGTCCAGTCATATGTTTGGTGGGTTAAGGGGGGTCAGCCGGAAACCCAGCGTTACGACGAGGATGGGCTGCAGATTGGCAAAAAACCCGCAGGCAGCTATCCCTGGTAGGTAATAGGAAACTAGTGATGACGGAATTTTAGATTAAAGAAATTGCTACATATATTAAACTAATAAATAATATTAAAAAATCTTTATCTTATTGGTTTCTTTTTACTTTTTTATTTAAGAGTTAAAAATATATGTAGTATTTAAGCCAAAGCCAAAAACAGCATTCATGGTTGAATCTCCTCCACAGGTTCGACGATGAAACCTCGTCGCCCACCCTGCGTTCACCAAAGTTCGCGCCCAGTCCGCCCAACAACTATTACAAGGGCTGGTGGACATTTCCCTACTTCTCGTGCTCTCTCAGTCGCTGGCTGGTGTCCTACAGCATCGCAATTCCGCCAATTGGTCGCCATGGGCTAAGGGGTTTCATTAGCATCGACATCGACTTGTCCACGCTGCGGGTTAACCAGTGCGAGGCGGAGCCTTATCAGTTCGGTAGTCGACGTCAGAAAATGCAGCAGTTGCAGCAACAACATCGCCTCACGGCAATGAGATCACCGTTCAGGGGCGGCAGGACTGGGGCACTTGATGAGGGCACCATCAATGATCTGCAGGCATTCCACGGCTCCCACAAATGTCATCGCACCTCAATGGTGGTGAGTATAATAAACCAAGAACTTTTTTGGATAAAAGAAAGAAACATTAGTTTTGAAAAGTCCAAAAGTCTCAGTTACCTTTTCTCTTTATATTTATTTAGTAAGCAACGAGAAGCAATATTAAAACTAACAGTATATACTGTACAGCCATTCAGAACATTCACATTGCCCAGTTTTCACTTTAAACTTAAGTTTCGGTTAAGTATGTAATCGTTTTTCACTCTAAACTTAATTTCAAAGAATCCATCTGTAACAAATTTAGATACAAATCAATCTATAAAAACAACTGATAACATGGATAAGACAAAAAAGCAAATAAAATCAAGCCAACAGCCGCGGAAACCTCTTAAGCGGCTCAATGATAAAGCTCGCGGTGTGATGACTCGAAAAAGTTTATCCGAGAATTCAAGTTCCACTAAACCAACCCGCCGTAGGAAGTACTCTGCACCGCTCCAGAATTTCATTAGTAATTTCAAGAGAACCAATCCCGGAAAAATAACATCGGAGGCCCTATCTTTTTGGCGCAAAATGAGCTCTACCGAAAAGGCCTCCTTTAGCACTTATCGAAAAAAAACAGCACCAAAGGAATCTGCTTCTGCATGTACGCAAGTTTCAGATTGTAGCGTTGATGATTTGGAAATAAAAGAGCCTGAGCTGCCAATTCCAGATGACCAAGCAAGGGCGAATAGGAACGAAGCTATGCCATTGGAAAATCTAAGCTCCTTGTTAAACTATTCTCAGCTAGGAGAAAATGATAGCTTCTTGTTGACCTGTTCCCAGCTAGGAGAAAAACCAAGCTCATTGTTGAACGATCCTCAGCCAGAAGAAAATCAAAAAAGCTCCTTGAACAATTATACGCCAGAAGAGAATCAAACTTTCCTGTTGAGCAATTCTTCGCCAGAAGAGAATCAAACTTTCCTGTTGAGCAATTCTTCGCCAGAAGAAAATCCAAGTTCCCTGTTGAGCAATTCTTCGCCAGAAGAGAATCAAACTTCCCTGTTGAGCAATTCTTCGCCAGAAGAAAATCAAAGTTCCCTGTTGAGCAATTCTTCGCCAGAAGAGAATCAAACTTTCCTGTTGAGCAATTCTTCGCCAGAAGAGAATCAAACTTTCCTGTTGAGCAATTCTTCGCCAGAAGAGAATCAATCTTTCCTGTTGAGCAATTCTTCGCCAGAAGAAAATCCAAGTTCCCTGTTGACCAATTCTTCGCCAGAAGAGAATCAAACTTCCCTGTTGAGCAATTCCCCGCAAGAAGAAAATGAAAGTTCCCTGTTGAGCAATTCTTTGCCAGAAGAAAATCAAAGCTCTCTGTTAAACAATTCTTCGCCAGAAGAGAATCAAAGTTCCGAGTTACATAATTCTCAGGAAGAAGAAAAATCAAGCTCCTTGTTGAACGATTCTCAGCCAGAAGAAAATCGCAGTTCCTTTTTGAGTTTTTCATTTATTTTTAAACGCAACGAAAAAAATGTTTCAATAATTTTTTTTTCCAAATCGTTTATGTAAAATTTTAAATAATAAAAAAATTATTAATCGTGTTAAATTAAACAAAAAATAAATAATAAATAAAATTGTTTGTTCAATAACAAGTCCATGTCCTTAAATCGCATAAAAATATATAAAATTCCAAACTTATAAACCCTTTTTATCTTAATTAAAGTACTTTAAAAAACCCCATTTGTTTTGCAACTTAAATTGTTACCACCTGCGGCTCCTCAACCCAAATGCATTTGTTTGTTTCTTGGCAGTGTGACTACCGTCAGCCGAGTACAGAGGCTCCGACAATAAGTGGAGGAAAACTGCTGACCGCGCTGACCGGGAGCAGCAGCTGGGCTCGTGGATCCTACCAGTGTCTCTGCCGTGGGGGATTCTACTCGCTGCGGCATCCGGACGGCTTCAATGGCACCATCATGGAGATTGCCTGGCAGGAGCAGCAGGACAATATAAGCAATTACTATACGGACGTCTTCAAGTGTTTGCCCTGCGCCCCCGGCTGTGACACGTGCACGGGTCCGGAGCCATGTCTGGCCAACTACCACTGGCCATTCAGGTGGGTGTAGCCGTTTTTTGTGCCAGTGATGGGAGACGTAATCCCTTTAGTTTTGCAAAGTTTACGTCGAGAAATCGTCGTACTTAGTTAACAAATATAAATAAAAATGCATTTTTATATATAAAAAAAATAGAGTGAAAGCATTTCCCATCACTGGTTTTCCTTTTATGAAATCAAATCTAAGCCTCTTTCTTTCTGCTCCTCTAGAATATCCCTTTTGACCATATCCATTGGCTGTGCCTGCGGCACCTTTGTCCTCGCCGGCTATCTCTTCCGGCATCGTCGCGTCAAGGTCTTCAAGGTGGCTAGCCCCATCTTCCTGATGATCACGCTCATTGGCTGCGCCATCATGTATTTGGAGGTGAGTACTCTCGGGTCATTTGGGGCGACGCTCTTAACCCATTAAAGCGGCTGAGAGCGCAGGAAGGAGCAAAGCAAAGGGGCAAACACACAAAGGCCATTTGAAAACAATGTTGCTAATGCGACAAAGGGCCCAAAGTGGTCGGCACGCGCTCATTCATAATTAACCCACATGTGTACCCGTTTTGGCCCTTATCCCACTCTCATTTCTGGCTGTAAAGGGATCTGCGAACAAACCATAACATAAAAGTCCCACTTATGGGTTTTTAAATGCGACTTTTAAGCACTTACACGTTGAAAGGGTATTCCAGTTTAACGATTTAGTTGGTGAAAAGAAGAGTTATAAGATATAGATTAAATATAAACAGTTTTTTATATAAATTTTTAATATTTTTTATTTGTAACTTACTATTACTCACAGAAGGAGTGAAATAAATTACCAGTTTTTATAAGTTTCTACCACGTTGTTACATTCAAAGGGTGTACAACACTCACCTGAAGCAACCTGCTACTTTTTTATTCCCCTTTCCCTCTTTGGCAATTATGCTGTCAACATTAGGACCACAACAATGGTACACCACCCAGTGGACACATAAAACCACAGTCCGTCCACCGTAACACAAAACACAAACAAACAATGGCAGTAAAAGATTTTACAAACAAGAACAACAAATGGGTTAAGAGGTTGGAATAGTTGAAGAAATTTAAAAGATACTCAAAGAAGTGTACTTGATTTTCTAATCAAAATAAAAATTCCCAAAAAAATATTTTGTAAATTGGTAGAATCAGAAACTATTATGAGCAAGAAATCACTAAAGAAGCAAGAAGCTAAATCTAAAAATGAAGATTCTGAGGGAGAAGATGAAGAGGATTTGCATGCGGCGATTAGGGAAATGTTCAGGACTTCCGATATAGATGTAAGACCAAGCATGAGTAGTCGTTACTCCGAGCTGTTGAATGTTTCTCCAAGCCAAGATAACCTCGAAAAAGGGAACCCGAAGAGGAGAAACCAAAAAATCTAACTGAACAAGGATCACAAACGGATGGCAGTAGTCTTAAAAAGCCTAAGACCTCAAAGCCGGAGAATAAAAAATTGGAAAGCGAAGACAGTTGGGCAGCAATTTTCATCAAAAGGTTTAGCTGGACAAAAACGCCCAAAACTGAAGCAGTGCCACCTGAAGGTAATCAAACTCAGCCTGCTACTAATGTATCAGTAAGGAAAGGTACAGAAAACAGAAGCAATTTTAGTAAAGGTGAAACACAAGGAGCCAAATCCTCTACAGAAACCTCAAACGAAAGTCTACTGCGAACAGATTATTATCACTTATCTTTGGGAAAATCAGAAGAAAGTAAATCCCTAAAAAATAAGTTAAATGATGAAGGGTCAGGGGAAGAATCGTCAGAGTTCCTTGAAAAATTACGAAAAATTGAGGAGGCCTCCAAGCCCAAGACTTGGAAGAGACCTCAACCAATAGTCATAAAACCCAATACGAATTCTCCTACCACTAAAACGAATAAGGATGCAGTGGAGGCCAGACCACAGAAAGATGCCGACGAGAAGCATAGGTATATTAATATTTTAAAGGTTCCTTTTCAACGTGACTTAAATTATGCTGCAGAGAATGAACCAAATGTTCAGACGACAGTCAATCAGCAACCTACAGAAAAGGATACTCAGCCAGAATCAAGAAATCAGAAATCAGAATCAGAAACAATTGCTGAGGAAAGTTCGGGATCTCTGACTGAAAATCCCGCCGAAAAACGAGAGGAAAAGCCTGCGGTAAATGCTGAAAAAGGGAACGCAGATAATGCTGATTCACAACGAACATTCACAATCACAGGACACTCGCATATCACCGCGAAATGGGGAAAACACTGTCATTTCAGGGAAAAAGACACCGGAGTCGATAAGAAAGCTAGAAGGATACTAATAATCGCCTGCATTCTGTGTTCCACATTCATGATCATCGAAATTGTCGGTGGCATTGTATCAAACAGCCTGGCCATTGCCACAGATGCGGCACATTTGCTAACCGACTTGGCCTCATTTCTCATCTCATTATTTGCCTTGTATCTGGCTGGAAGACCTTCGTCGGAGCGTCTTAACTTTGGATGGTATCGGGCCGAGGTCATTGGAGCCATGATATCCGTATTTTTTATCTGGGTAATCACAGGTGAACGGTGAATATTCACCCTCGGAGTTGCAATGCTCTTGATATTATTTTTAAGAAACTTTTTTGGTTGGAAAAGTTGAAAACCACAACCTGTTAAACCGAATTAGTTTCTTATTTCTCTTAATTTGAAATAACTTGAAATTTTTAAGACTAAATCACCCATCCCATCACAGGCATCCTTGTGTATTTGGCCATTGTACGTTGGGTTAACCAAGATTTCGAACTGGATGCCAAGATAATGCTGATCACCTCGGCGCTGGCTATACTTTTTAACTTAATAATGGGTTGTCAATTGCATCAAGGTCACTCGCACTTTCCGCTGGAAAAGCTTAAGAGGTCAAAGCAAGGTAGTAAAAATGTTTTAGGATCTCAAATAAATCACATGATGGTGGGAACATCCGTATCAACCCAGTTCCGTGTCAAGTCAGAAACTAACATCAATGTACGTGCGGCTATGATTCATGTGGTCGGTGATCTTCTCCAGAGCATTGGGGTTTTCGTAGCCGCATTAATTATATTCTTCAAGCCGGAATGGGCCTTCATGGACTCCGTCTGCACGTTCCTCTTCTCGATACTGGTTCTTGTGGTTACATTTAAGATTTTAAAGGATGTCCTCATGGTACTAATGGAGGCCACTCCGGATTACATGGATTACGAAGAGGTGAAGCAGACATTTCTCTCCATTCCGGGTGTAGAGCATGTCCATAACCTAAGGATTTGGGCTCTGTCCATTAATAAAGTGGCTTTGTCTGCTCATCTGGCCATTTCCAAGGATGCTGATCCGCAGCTTATCCTCGAGGAGGCCACCAACCTGATCCACAAGCGGTTTAGATTCTTTGAGACCACCATACAGATCGAGGAGTATTCGCCGGATATGGAGGATTGCGAGCAGTGCTTGAGTCCTGTAGATAAAAATGATAAACAGAAGACATTAGACGTGGAAAAGGGCGAAGGTGGTGCCGAGCGACAAAAATCGGAGAAGACTAAACAAGAAAATGGCTAAAATTTACTTGGGGACACTTCTTTTAATGGGAATTTTAAAGTGCTGAGCTTAAGTAAAAATCTTAAAGTTTTAAAAATAATTAAATTTAATTGTGAAGCCTTAAAATATGTAGACTTTTATTGTATATTTAATTTATTATAAAAACAGTTAAAACTGTATTTAATCTTGTTTATCTTAAATCTTGTTTTTTATAGATGGTAGCCATATTTCCCTATTTGGATACTACTTGGTGTATTGCAACCAAATGGACGCGGCATATGGGTTTTTGCATCACCTACACTTCGCTGCTTATGAAAACTTGGCGGTAGGATAATATAAATTCTGTATTAAAAACTTATTTTCAAATTATATTCCCTAATTCATAGGGTTTCTTTAACCTTATCGTGTCAAGTCGGCCCACAAAATAAAGCTAAATGACCAGCAACTATTGCAGTGGATGGTTCCCATTCTGCTGGTTATGCTGATCTACTTGGGAACCTGGACTATTTCGGCAACGCCAACTGCTGAAGTGGTACGTAAATGGTAAAATATAAATATAAAAATATATTAATATTTTCCATATAATATTTTAGATCCTAGACCAGAGTAGTTTGAAGTTCAAGCAGTGCTCGTACAATTGGTGGGATCACAGTTTGGCCATTGGGGAAGTCTTCTTCCTGGCTTGGGGAATCCGGGTGTGCTATAATGTAAGGAATGCAGAGAGTCTGTACAACGAGGCTCGGCTCATCTCGTATGCCATCTATAATATAGCCCTTGTTAACATAGCCATGGTGGTGTTCCAGTAAGTTTACTCTAAAAAATATTACGTATTACTTTATAACTTTTTACATTCCTTATCATCTGCTGAAATATTGAAAATAGATACATTGCCCTACCTCTAATGTATCTTAAATGGGATATCCCCGACCTGACAAAGCCGCTTCCCTTCCAAAATTGAATTATAACAGTTGTCACATGTTGGGTAATCCAAAATGCTGGAGCACGTGTCGCGTCCATTAGGGTAAATGCAAAGCTGCCCGTCTTACGCGGGCCCGGTTTTAATTAAATTCCTTTGCTTTGTGCGCGTTCGTGTTCGCGCTGTAATCCTTTTTGTTGGTCCTGTAAGGACTCACATCCCGCTCCTCCACCATCAACATTTATACGGGCTTCCATCTGTCTGTCTGCTTTGTTTACATAGACATTCCTGGGCATTCTCTCTCCGGTTTCAAGCTGTCTGCTGGTTTGCTGCTGCGTTTCCCCAACTGAAAACCCTTTGATGAAGTCCTTATAATTAATGCAATTTGTTGGGTAACTTGCTGGGCCACGCACCTAAAACAATCCCAATTGGTTTAGGTTAGTACTGTAGATAACAGCCTTAATTGGCTGACCCACGAAAGGTGACAGAGTACCACTAAAAGATTAACACTTCACGTTCTAACTTAAATTTAAACATTTAAGAATTTCAAGTTTTTAGCAAACTGTTTCTGTATCCTTAATATTTAAGATATCTTTTAATATATTTGTAATTTTCCTTATAGTGTAATGCTCTTTCCAAACGCTGGACCGGATTACAAATATATGCTGGGATTTGTGCGCACCCAGCTTTCGACGACCACCACCATTGCCCTGGTATTCGGGCCAAAGATTTTGCGAGTTTTCAAGGGACAAGGCGACAAGTGGGATCAAAAGGCCAAAGTCAGGAGCATAACAGCTTCGTTCTCTTTAAATGGAGTGGGTTTGGTGCCGGAAGAGTCGCCTGATCTGTATCAGGAGAACGAGGAACTTAAGGTGAGCTATTTGGTTTGCCATAAAAAATAATAAATAATTATTTAAAATAATAATCTTTTACAGGAACAAGTCCAAAAGTTGGCCCACCAAATCGAGTTCATGAAGACTGTCCACATGCAGATGAACAACAGGCATCTGAAGCCAAAGCCAGGTGGATATTTTACCATAACGTCAACCTCGTTCCAAGCGCCCTACAGCAAGAACACGGTTTCCTCGGCGCAGACGCAAACTGGCAAAGACGACACCAGGTAAGTCAGGTTATTACAATTTTCTAATATTTATTTAAATTTTCTTTTGCTTTCCAGTTGCACGCCAACGAAATTAAAATCGCCCAAAGGGCAAAGTCTGACGAGGTCAACGAAGTGTTAAAGATTGCTCAATAGAAGTCGATGGAGGACAGGGCATCAGCACCCTGGTGGATGATGCCATTGAATTTAATTTCCACCAAGCAGGATCGGAGGAGATGATTAACCTAAAAGGAGTGCAGCCAGGATCGGAAGAAGCGGCCTTGATTGCCCAGTTTCGGCTCCTCTTTGCCCCCATTTTGGATGATAGTTTAAATCTGTATTACCAACTCAACGATTTGGATGACACGGAGCACGTGAGGATCCATCAAACGGTGGCCCAGATGAATGAGTTGACCAGCAGCGAAGAGGAGACGATGATTACCCAGGTGAATAGTCCATCGCCACCGGTGGATGTGGAACTACTGCTGCCGTTGTCCTCCAACGATAGTACCACCTCCAGCAGTTCTCTCTATGCCATCCATACACCTTCTCCTGCTCATCCCAGTGGTCTGCTTTTGATGCCCCAGAACTTGGAGTCGCCCGTGCTGTCCTGCAGTGATGCCATCACCATCACCGAGCAGGTTCAACTGCATAATCCTCCGCATCATCTGCAGCTCCTCGAGGATGAGAACAACACATCCTGTTCACTATCATCCAATCTGACGGATAGCAAAACCCTGGATGGTCGTACCCCCATCGTGGTCTAATGGATTCTCCGGTCTGCTTAACTTGTGATTTTGTTTACACAGTCTTAGAGCAACAGCAAACAGTTAGCGGAAAATAAACAGCTTAATGTTTAATATAGTCTTAAATAATGTTTGTGTGTATGTGTCTGTCAAAGTTGTTTAAATATTATAAAGCGTTTATGCGGAAGAAAATGTATGAAATTCCACTAACTTTCAACAAATATTTTAAAAGCATTTCAAATTTTATGTAAGAGAAAAAAATTTGCAAAAAATATCCCACCAAATGTTTTGATTTTTAGAAGACATTAAAATTAAATTAAAAGTTAATAATTACCCAAAAATAAGTTAAAGTGCTATGCTTTGCTTTAACTTTTATTCTTTTTATATTTATATTTTTTAGATTTTTTTAAAAGCTTTCCATCATCTTGAACTTTCTAACCGCATAAACGCAATCTTCATGTGTAATGCTTTATTTTTGGCTTTTTAACCATACGCCCAACCATTATCCCATCATCCATATCCATGATCTCCATCGTTTTTAACACGGAAAAAAGATCAACATTGAGCAAAATTTCTCACTTCGTTCGGATCGAAAAAGGAAGTTGTATAGAAGAACTATAGACAGCCAGATGGTCTGATGGGTCTCATAGAGCCCATTGGAGCCCCTAGGGACTTGGCCAAGATTAACAAATCTCATTTATCTCTCTCATGCACCTAGCGAAATAAATTGTATTTTCCTTGTTCTCTCTGCACTCATTCATAGAACAAATATTATTTGCTTTGTAGTTAAATTTACATGATTTCCATCGTCATTAAAGTCTTTATAAATTAACATTTAAGCTTAGCAAAGAGTCGATTTTAGTGTACAAGATGATAACATTTACCAATATAATATAAATGGATGAATTGAAAATTTTAGCGTACGATTTTAAGCTGAGAAAGTGTTAACATACGCGCAATTCTTCTTCATGCAGTTGGGCAATACGTATAATGGAAAGTATTCAAATATATTAAACGTAAAAACAAACAACAATTATAACTGAATACGAAATATGAAACATTTACTAAGTAAGTTAAAGTTAAATTAAAATATTGTAAAAACAACAAAAGATCAAAGACATCAAAAATAAATGTTATACAAATTAAGAAATCGTTTCGTTATTTTCAACCTCCCTTTTCCTTAAACTACAAAAGATTTTATTCTGACTCTCAATTAAAAATACCTTTATTCAAAAAAATACGAATTTTCAAAATTTTCTATTATGAGGCAGCAACTGCTGGACGAGGAGTTCGAAAGTCTGCGCCGCATTGCGTTGGCCATTTGTGAGAACCTCGGAAGGCCAAAAGATCGCGAGATATGTAAGAGCACCCTCGAAGAGCTGGCCAAGTTTAATCAGTCCTCCACCTCGATGAGGATTAAGGAGAATGTGCACACATTCCTGATGTTCTACCTAAAAGTGCTTAGATGGACCCAAAGGAATCAGCCTCTGGACTTGTATCGACAATGGGTGACATTTGAGGTACAACTTAAATGGAAAGTATTTTAAATTTTACTACATTTTAGTATGGACCAAACTTTGATAACGATTCTCGGTCTGTCTCAACGGGTGGTTCTTCTGGGCCCGAAATGCGCATTTGGTTGGAGGAGGGAAAGTCCTTTTATGCCATGAAAACCTTTGAAGATGGCTCCACTGTCGTTTTCACAGCTGTGGCTAAAGATTCGAGAGCTGGTTGGTCAGAAAATGGTCTGAAAACGCTTATGGAAGCACAAATCGGTTGCGCTTTAAATCAAGAAAGTAAATAAATAATTTTATATACTTAATATATATTTTATTTCGATTGTGGGTGTTTTCGAGATTCGAAGTGTACAATTGTCTTGTTTAAGGATTTATTTATGTTTTTGTAAGATATGTCGCAATGTTACACTGTTAAGCCCAACGTTTATAAGCGTGTAAATCTTATTTTATACATGGAAAAGTGGACGGAATGTGTTTTCAATACTAAAAGTCATTCGTGACTTAGATATTGCTAAAAAGAGCGCGGTGAAAAGGCACTTTTTGTCTTTTTTTGGTGGAGAGAATAAACCTGGTTTTCCTATTAACTTCTAAAAATCCTGGATGCGGCGCCAATCAGCAGGAAGCCCAACAGTAGCTGCAGGGATCCGTGCATTTGCATCAAACTGGAGCCATTGCAGCTATCGCTGGAGCAGTAGCACTCTTCCCAGTACACGCCGTTTTCGTAGACGCCCCAATTACAGGCGCCAGTCACTCCGGTATCAGAAACGGAGGCACATCGTCGGATGACCTGGCGCCAACGACCGTCCCCTAAGAAAACAGGAAGGACATTGTCATTAACATCCAAAGGAAGCGCAGAATCCAACAAACTCACAAATAAATCCACGGGGACCCTGTTGAACCACCTTTATGCAGAAGGATCCTGGCATGTGACTCTCATCGCTGTTGCACTCGATGGAGATGTGCTCCGTCCGGTTGAATCTCTTATAGGCGCCACAGCTGTCATGTCCTTTCCGATCTTGATCCGAGGAACACTGGTAGCATCGAATGGCCAAGCTGCCTACAATGGAAGTCGGATTAATTCAAATTACTTAAAAACTTTGCCAAAGCAAAGCCACACCCAAAGCCGAGATGAAAGTTGGCATATTGGGATTATTACAAGAGCGGCGTTCATTACTCACCGCAAATGGTCAGCGTAAGCAGCAAGAAGGTGGAGCGGATCAAGACATTCATTTTTAACTTAAAACTGCTTTGTGCGCTTCGGTTAACTTAAATAAAATGCGATTAAACCAAAAAATAAAAACAAATTGGAGTAAACGCGAGCCTCGGTGTGACCGTGTGCGAGGTAGCTATAAAATATACAAGGCGGCAAATATTAAATTTAAGTGATATGTGACAACCCTTTTTCAATGCTTTTAAATTTCATTTGCAAGGCTTTTTTGTATTCTTAGAATACAAGAATAGAGGTCTGACAAATTAAGGATAAAGAAGTCAAGAAAATATATGTGCTTCAAACACTTATGTTCCCTTTAATATTGTTAAAATATTATAAATACTTAGCGAATCAGTAATTTTTTCTATTAAGAATACAAAACCACACAAAAATACTTTCAGATAAAATCTAAAGACTACAAAATTAAATTAAAAATAATTAAAAAAAAAAGCGCACAAATTCAAAATTTCAATCGGCCCTTTTATGATCTTACAATGGTGCCACGTTGTTTTTGAAAGAAGTTCTTTACCACGGTTCTTGTCTTTGCTAATCGGTATTTTTTCCCGGTAATTTAAGAACGCTGCAGCTACGGTCGCACTGCTATTTACACGCCCAAAAATTCAATCAATTGAACGCAACGAAAATAAAATACATATAATAAGATGAAAACGTTGGAAAAATGTGTACTTTTCGTTGTTGTGCTCTGCTGTCTGCTGCAAGTTGGTAAGTGATCTAACAGAAAATGCAGTCTAAAATGCATCTGCGCCTGCGCAACCGAAAAACATGAAAACCTCAAATCTGCGTGACTTTTGCAGGCCAGTCGATCAAATGTTGGGATTGCCGCAGCGATAACGATCCGAAGTGCGGTGATCCTTTCGACAATAGCACTTTGGCTATTACGGATTGCCAACAGGCACCAGAACTGGAGCATCTGAAGGGCGTGCGACCAACGATGTGCCGAAAAATCCGACAAAAAGGTGCACGGGGAGTGGCGCTACTTCCGAAGCTGTGCCTACATGGGCGAACCCGGAATCGAGGGCGACGAACGCTTCTGTTTGATGCGTACCGGCAGCTATAACATCTTCATGGAGTTCTGCACATGCAACAGCAAGGATGGCTGCAATTCGGCGGGAATCCATCGACTCAGCTGGACAGGCGTTCTTTCCGGAACTCTGATTTCCGTCCTTGTGGCACATATCCTGCGACAATAGTTGGATCAACCACTCCTAGCTTTAGCCAATGCCACGCCTCCTTTGCCACAAGACTGTCCTGAGCCAAAAGAGGCAATTGTTAGATGCTAAAATCAAATGTATAGGCCAATGCCCTCCTTTTTAAATGCAAAGATTCTTCGCTCTTTTAAGAGTGACATTTCTTATTTCTTCCAACTCAAGATACTTTTCAATATTCCTTACAATGTATTTAAATTGTATAAATAGTCAGAAAAGCAGTTAGGATTAACTTGTTTTGTAAATGTATGTCCCAGTAATTGTAATATTTGATTTAGGACAAAAGTTTCATAATTTCGTATGTAAATCTTTAAACGAACTACATGCAATCCCTTTTTTGATTTAAGGACAGTCTTGTATAAGAGGAGCGATGTCTAATCAAGTGCCTTTCTGTAAACGACTCGAAATTGTAACTTAAGCCTGGAAAACTATTACCGTCCAAAAAGTATCTTACGCACATGTCATTCCGTCTCTTAAGCTTAATCTTGTAATCTCTTTCTACTTGTATTTTGTAATGTTTTTACAAAGAAAACGCCTAGTTTTAGTCGCCAGCAAGTTTTTATTGTAATAAAAAGACAATTAGGATATTTGTAATTGAAATAAACGTTTTATACACCAAGCGGTTCGTGTGCTTCTAGTTTAAGTGTGAGTATCTTCATTGGAAAAAGTCTAGCGAAACGTATTTATACATAGGTTTGGTAACGTATCCCTTGGATAAGTTATGGCTTCATAAATTTTAGTCAATTCTGGACCTTATTCTTCTTCAATTAATATGTTACGTGGTCCCTCTAGAGTGTATTCGACCAAAATTAAAACGTGATTCTCCTGTTTACAATTTTCTTAGCAGTTGAGTCCTGACACTGATTTGAAGAGTCATCCGGCATCTCAACTTGTGGATTTTCAACTACCACAACCTTTTCGAAATTTTCTAGTCTGGCGACGTCTTTGCTAAAGATTTCTTGGGCGTCATTGGTAGCCATGTTCACCTCTTCTGGAACCAGCTTTCTCGACTGTGAAAAAATTAACCTTATTTTGATTGTCCCATTGAGCGACACCTCCGGATTTCAAGAAATAGTCGATAAAGAATATGTTTTCTGAGCTTGGCATATTATTCTCTTTCTCCAGTTCAGATACATTCCAATCAGACACAGAGCTGTAGTCCTGCTTTTCTTGTTGAGCAAATTTGCAAACCTTCTTTGGAAGCTTTCGTACTACATCTTCCTGAGATATCTTCGTGCGTTTGAGGCCAGAACGCATTGAAGCCATATTCTTAGTATTGGCTTTTTGTGACACTTTGAGAGCCATTAAAAATTCGTGCAAAACATTTTCCTCATTTTCGCATTTAGCATTCAACTTATTGTCCTCTTCCTCGGACTCCATTTTCGACACTTTTGACGAACCTGTTGATCCACTATTGGAGTTTCCTCCTATTCCACCGGTAGACCCACAGCGTCCAGGTCTAATAAATTGGTTGTTTTCCATCTAGAAATTATACGTTAGCTAAAATTACAATAAAAACAAGAGACTTGCCGTAAAAACTAAATATTTTTCAACCGAACAAATCTAGCTGTTTGGAATAGTTTTGAGGTAAACGGAAACATATCGATAGGATCGATGAAAGCTTCCATTTGACTTTTTTTTCAACACTATAGTTGCTCAGACCTGGAACCGATTGGAATGAAATTCTCCAGGAGTTGGAATGAATGTTTTATTTGTGTTCAAATTCAAATAAAATCAATAAAAGTTGATTTTAAATATTATAATTTTATTCATAATTCTCGGAATGCTTGTAAGCTAACAGAAAATTAATTGGTATAAATTTAAAATTAAAGGGTTTTTTCAATAAGATTGTCTTCTTTATGTTGATATGTCCAACTAGACAAACAATAATATATAATAATATAGATGGCAAATATGGTGAGATCTGCATTATCGATAAAAGATAAGCTGTGACCATAAGTGACCATTCCCTATCTCATCACTAATTCCTTCTTCCTTTCCTTTTCCATCGTCGTGTGAGCGTTTTTTCGGACTTTTAATTTGTTAATTGTGTTTTTAAAAAACTGAAAATTTGTTTTGGTTTCTATCGGCATAGTTGCAAATAGTGTTCATAACGTTTTAAAGTTTGTCCATTGTCGTATTTCGTTTACAACTTAAATTGTATTTTTAAATTCCTCTGAAAAATCTGCAAGTCCCGTTGTCGCCATCTTTGTTTTTGTAGACTCCGTCCGCCGTATTCCTATTGTTATTGTTTTTTTTTTTTTAATTTCTTCAATGGATGTGGAATTCGACAATAACCACGAATTCACGGATATTAATGATTATCTGAACAATATTACGCTAAGCGTAAGACATATGAGCCTGGAGCTCATGGACTATTACAGGTATTTGTTGTTGGGAATTTGAAGTTTTTATAAACATTTTGGCTTATAAACAATGGATATTAAGAAGCTTAAAAAAAAAAAACTCACTTCTTTTGTTCAAATTCAACCAATCAATGCAAAAAATATAACAAAATCAATTATTTTTCACTTTTACTTTGGTTTATTCAAAATTTTAATTAACAATTTACATTTCTTTTTGTACAGGTACAAAAAGGTTTACATATGTAAACAATAACTTTAAGACCATAAACTTCTCATTTGACAACTATGAAGTCATTTCTATATCCGTTTCAAAAACGTATGAAAAAGTACGTGAATAATTCTGTTTTTTTTTTTTTTGTTTATCATTCCAAAATGTCTTAATATGCTTTGGAATTCGAAATTATCGTGGGCGCGTTGTGGTCTGTATTGGGCGATGTGATGACTTTAGACTAATATATTCATTTATTTTTTTTACTTGAAAAATAATGAATGTCGAATATAATATTTTCCTTTCTTTTATATATTTTATGACAGTTATTTTTTAAGCAATAAGTTTTCACTCAAAACTGGTTCCTTTTGACACAGATTTTTGAAAATTGTTTATTTCTTAAATTTTCCGGCAGCAATGTCACCTAAAAAACGAAAAGACTTACCACTGTGCATCATGCACAAGGCGATAAGTAGAACACAGATTTGTTTCAGCATATTTGCTAATATTTTAGAACTTTTTTTTTAAAAAAAATAAGTAAATTTTCCAACGGTTTTCGGTTGGTTCGGTTTGGCAGACGCTGAACAACTGAAATTAGTTTTGGGTTTGTTTTCTGCGCTCTTCCCCATTTGCAACTTGTTTTAGATTTGAGATCGACGAGAAAAAGCTTTGCTCAGTCACTCAAAGAGTGACATTAGTTGAGTGAAACTCGAAACGAGTTTTTTTTTTTGTTATACCAAATTGGCGAACCACGCAATGGGGTCACTGAAAATAAAACTATTTTGTTTTGATCAGCAGCTTCGTAGGCGGTCGATCATAGTTCTCAGTACTGCCGTTATGGGTCCATTGATTGCTGGCGGTGTAAATTGACTGCGGCTGAACTATGGGATTTTTTCTTTAATTGCATTTAAAGCGGATAATGGAATTAAATTGCTCAGTGACACAGTTCTCTGATTTGGGTTATCGAACTTTAATTGGCTGGGCGAGAGAGGCGATCTAAGTTAATTAAAAGAAATAACAAAAAAGTTTAGAATTACTAAGGACTTAAGACTTAATAAGAGTAATATATAAGCAATAACTCATTTAAAATAAATTAACTTTTTTATTTATTTCTCTGGACTTTTTCAAACTTTAATGTGTGTGATAATCTACTTGAGAGTTCGTAGACCTCAGCTCATTTAATCCTTTTCCTATTGTTGTCTCGTCCTTTGCAGCTCCGCTGGAAGTCGGTTCTTCCCTTTTTTGTAAGCATTGATTGCTTATTTTGTTGCATGTTATTTGAGCAATCGACTCATTGAATCTTCCCCTTTTGTCTGTTACCATGGCAATTTTGGTCTAAGAAGAAAATGCTGCGATAAGAGCAGCCGTCTGGGGGGAGCAACAAATCCTTTTTGATCAAAAAAAAGGAGGTGTATGAGTATTGTCATTTTTAAAAATCTTTTTGACTGCACTTTACCTTAAAAAGTTAACATTCCCTTAAAAATTTTCAATACTTAAGCAGCTTCTTCATGCTGAGTTAACTTTTCACATTTGAAAGCTTTTTGAGTTGATTTTTTTTGAGTATGAAATTTGTCGGTGTAAGAAAACTTGTTTAAATTGCGACGCAAAAACAAAAATCTAACTCAGAGAGTTTGTCAATTAGCATGGAATATTGAGATTGGCTCTATTAATTAAGAAAAAAATACTGAGAAATCCAAAATATCTTCCAAAATTGTATGTTTTCAAATTCTACTTAAAAGTAAAATATTTTGTCATCTCTTTTAGCCATCTAACTTTCCCGCAAATACATTTTCCTTCTCCATTTAATGGCGCATAATTAAGGAATATGCCATTGGACGGATGTGACAACAATGTGACCGATACGCTGCATTTCCAATAATGCAATACAAAATGAAAAACTTCCATGAAAGGATTTGGTTATTAGAGAGGCGACACAGGACATTTTCAATTTCCGGCCTCTCAGCGGGTTTTCGCAGTCCATTGTTCAAATATTTTGCATTCAATTGCATTGTCAAGCCGCCAATTTGCCACATAATTACGATTGGGCACACAAAGGGGGTTTCGGGTGGTCATAGAGTCGAATGTTGTGGTTCATGATTTATACAATATCTTAAGCGGATTTGCTTTTACCATTTTTGCCGCATCTCCATCTCACTTTTCTCAGCTTTCTTCTGTGGTCAGCAGCAGGAGCAGTAGCAGAAAATTCTGATTGAATTTCCTTTATCTTTTTTTTTTCTTCGCCACCGCATAGAATTTTTTCTATTATATTTTAGATGAGGAGAGAGTATAAGAGCTGCAGTAGTTGCATTGCATCCTTCGTCGACTTATTTCTCTGGAGATGTTTGCGTTGGTTTAGAATTCAATTATATATTGGGGAAAAGCATGGCTAAAAGTGAATGGAAGGTTTTTGCAGATACCCTTATTTTTAAGGGGAAGTTATCCCAAAATAAGTTATTTACCAGGTCTTTCTATAAGTATTTTATATAACTTGCCTCTATGTTGTTCTTTAAAAAAATTAAAAACATTTTCAATATTGTTTCTTAAAATTTAAAAATAGAAAACAGATCTAGAAGGTTTACTTTCTATAAGAAAAATGAATCTATCTTTAACTCATTGAGGAGAATCTAAAATTCGACTATTATTTAGCAACATTTTCAGCTTGTCTGCAGCATTATTGGTTGTTATCAACATTATCATCAGTCTGAGGTTGATGTGGTCACCTCTTTCTCCTTCCACATTTCTTCTCCTCCCTTGGGACCAGTTGCTCCAGGTTGTATCTAGAATCCAGTTTTGCAGTGCTCAGTGTCCAATGTCCAGTTGCCTGTTGCTGAGCATTTTTCGCAATATGATATTTATAGCTATTTCATACTTATTATATTCAATCTGCTTTTCGTTGCACTTCGGACAGCAACAAATTGGAGGAAAATCCCTTCAACGAAATTTGACTTGGCTGTGCACAATTTTAATAAGCTCAGGGCAGGGGAAACGTAAGCCATCTTCCTTTGGCTCTGACCAGTTCAGTCTGGTCTGGCCAATTGTCATTTC